GGTTCCCGTGATGTGCCGTGTGCAGTGACGTCATAAGGTCGTTTTTTGAGTGTGGTTGAGGGTGGTTTGTCGTCGAAAGGGTTAAGGGATTGGGTACTCTATCTATCTGCCTGTTTGTCTGTCTCTGACAATCTCTCTTTTCTTCTCTCTTTCTCTTTCATTCTCCCTCTGTTTCTGTTTGTCTATATGTCTTTCTATCTGTATATCTGTCTATCTATCTATTTTTTTCTCTAGCTCTTTCTTTCTCTCTTTCTACCTTTCTTTCTCTTTCTCTCTAGCTCTTTTTTCTCTTTCTTTCTTTCTCTCTCTTTCTCTTTCTGTATCTCTCTCTCTCTTTCTCAGTCTCTCTCTCTCTCACTCACTCTCCCCTTCCTCCCTTCCCTCTTTCCCTTCTCCCTTTCCAACTCTCTCTTTCCCTCTCCTCCTCCTTCCCTCCTTCCTTCGTTTTCCTCCCCCCCTTCCTGCCCTCGCTTCCTCCTTGCCACCCCCCCCCCCGTTCTCTCCCCTCTGTCCATCTTTGTAATTAATGAAAACCCTGTAATATCAGCTCACCGCTCTGTTAGAGATGTGTTTACGTTGTGGGTTCCCAGCGTGTCAACTTGGCGTTTTATTTTCAGCTTTCGTATAGATTGCAATAGTAGTAAGCAGATGAAGTAATATATATGTATGTATGTGTGGGTGTGTTGTGTGTGTGTGTGTGTGTGTTTTTGTGTGTATATATATATGAATGTATTTCTGTACGTATGTACGCACGTGAATGTTTTATCCCCACACACATACACACACATAACATATATATATAGATAGATAGATACATACACATACATACATACAATACATATAGATATAGATATATAGATATATATATAGATGCCTACATACATACACGTCCTCAAATACACACACACACACATTCATCATACTTACCTCCCCCTCGCCCGTGATGAGCTAACCGACCAAGCACCCCTGCCGCCCATCCCACCGCTGCCACCCAAAACCACCGCATGCCAGCAACCACCACCGCCGCCACCAGCTAGCTAGTCAACCACACACACCCGCGTGGCCCCTCTATGACCTGTTCGCACGCCACGCCTGCGTTTAAAACACTCGCGGGACCTGTCGTCTGTGCAGGGGTTGGGTGCTGGGGTGGGGGGGAGGGGAGGGTTAGAGGGTGGGTCTCTCTCTCTCTTTTTTTCTCCTTTATTTCTTTCCATCTTATTTTTTTTCTCTTCTTTCTCTTTCTTTCTTTCTTTCTCTTTCTTTCTCTCTTTCTCTCTCTCTCTTTCTCTCTTTCTATCTCTTATTCTCTCTCTGCCTTTCTCTCTTGTTTCTTTTCTTTTTTCATTTTGTTTTTTGTTATTTCTATCTTCACTCTCTCCTTATTATGTTAGTTTTTGCCTCTCTCTCTCTCTCTCTCTCTCTCTCCTCTCTCTCTCTCTCTCTCTCTCTCTCTCTCTCTCTCTCTCTCTCTCTCTCCTCTCTCTCTCTATCTATTCTTTATCTATCTCTATCTTTCCTGGTTTCTGATAGCTCTCTCTCTCTCTCTCTCTCTTCTCTTCTCCCTCTCTCTCTCTCCTCTCTCTTTCATTTCTGTTTCCCCTTTGCCCGCCCCCCTCCCTTTCGCCCCCTGAGAAATAAAGGGAGCGATCTTAGGGCAGCAAGAAGGGTTTAAGGTTTTAGGGTTTTAGGGTCGGGCCCGAGGGCATTAGGGTGAGTGAAGGCGACCGTCATGGAATGTGTTAGTACCTTGTTATCGGTGACAAATGGCACGAGGGGAAAGGGGGAGGGAGTAAGGAGAGGAGAGGGGAAGGGAGTAAGGAGAGGAGAGGGGAAGGGAGTAAGGAGGGAGAAGGGAAGGGAGTTAGGAGGGAGAGAGGGGGAGAGGGAAAGGAGTAAGACGGAGAGAGGGGAAGGGAGAAAGTGAGGGGAGAGGGAAAGGGAGTAAGGAGAGGAGAGAGGAAAGGAGTAAGATGGAGAGAGGGGAAAGGAGTAAGGAGGGGAGGTGGGAAGGGAGTAAGACGGAGAGAGGGGGAGGGAGTAAGGAGGGAGAGCGAAGAAGGGGGAGAAAGGATGGAAATGAAGAAGAGGGAGAGGGAGGAAACGAAGAAGGGGAAAGGGGAAAGAAATAGGAAGGAAAGAGAAGGGGAGGAGAGGCAAGGAAAGAGGGGAGAAGGGAGGCAATTGAGGAGAGGAGGGAAGGGGAGCAGGGAGAAGGGAAGGGAAAAAGTTACATATAATTTGCTGTCGTATTCGTTGCGCCTTCAATCTCCTTGTTTAAAGAGCCGGTGTAAGTGTGTGTCGTGTGTGTGTGTATCTTTGCGTGTGTGTGTCCGTGTATTTTTTTGTGTGTGTGCGCGTGTTCGTATGGATGTGTCTGTATGCGTGGTATGTATGTATATGTGTTTGTATGTGAAATGTGACTCTCGTTCTTACGCATATGTGTTTGTTCATCAAAAGATACATGTATTAACTATCATTATTATAGCAATTTTCTATCATTAATAATGTGAAGCTAAATAGTGCTAACAGCTTTACAATTAGATAATAAATCTTTATTTACACCGAATGATTAATATCGATATTAACGGCCACACCATAA